TGATGGTGTTCTGATGGTGCTTTGATGGTGTTCTGATGGTGCTTTGATGGTGTTCGGATGGTGCTTTGATGGTGTTCTGATGGTGATTTGATAGTGCTCTGATGGTGTTCAGATGGTGTTCTGATGGTGTTCTGACAACACACAATTTACGCTAAATGACAAATAAACCTCTCTGAAGTCCTGTCTACACTACTCCAAACGTTTTTAAAATGTATATTTTCTCCTGCACATCACGTCCATGTGCGGTTATTGATGAAGAAAAATTGAGATTTAAAAAATACTCTTTGAAGTAGCCATTTTGAACAGCTGATTTGTGTAGACAGGGATTGTGCAGCCTATATGTCCCACAAAGGAGTTATTTGTGGCATTATCTCGTTTGTATTACCGTTAAACTTTGATCATGTGCAAAGTAGTTAACAACTAAAAGAAACCGTAAATAATGTCAATGTCTATGTCTATGTTTAGTCTAGAGTGTTCTTGTTAACAATCGTTTTTTTTTAACTTTTTGACATCATTTACAACAGAATAAAACTTTAAACTGTATCTTCAATCAGTGCACTCGCTCTCACACATCCATCAAATCAAAGAATGTGAGTTTAAATCATTCATAAATTACACTTATTAAACTAACAAATTACAAATATATTTGTATATAGCAGAATAAAGTAGAGTTGAAACACTAGAACGTCTGTTAACTCGTAGTATTCCTGTGGTGATATTTTTGACTGATGTTCAAGAAGATTGAAACTACAATATATTGTTGAAAAGAGATACCACATCAGAAAACAGTTTGGTATTATTATTTAAACACCCCCACAGCCAGCATATTACCAACAATTTATGCATATTTTGGCTAAATTCAATAATGTGGCTCATTGCGCCACCTTGTGGTGCAGTTTATAAGATTAAAAGTACCAGAACAGCTTTGATAGAAAAAAATTATAGAGAAAAAATATATCCATTTAAAAACATATTTAAAGTAGCACAGACAAGTTATCAGAATTATCACAGGACTCTGATGTTTTCTTTTGTTTTTTACTTAAATTATTTTGGACTAAGTTCATACTGCAGGTCTTGTTGCTCAATTCCAATGTTTGTGGTGTTCACATTAATAATCTAAATGCAGCCGTCATTGGGCTCTGGTGTGAAAGGTCTTTGGGCATGAAACAAAGAACGACGTCAGAAGCAGAATTCGGTGTTTACGGTCGCTCATTGAATGCTACATATGGGCGGCTGTGGCTGAGTGATTAGAGCAGTCGTCCTCCAATGCAGAAGTTGGGGGTTCGAATCCACCAGCAGTCACATGCCGAAGTGTCCCTGGGCAAGACACTGAACTCCTCGTTGCCTCCGATGTGTATCCCATTGGTGTATGAATGTGATCTAAAACTCTGATTAGTCTCTTTAGAATGATTTGTTCAATTAGCTTTGTAGAGATCTAGTAGAGTGCTGTATGGATGGGTAAATGAGGCACAGATTGTAGTGTAAAGCGCTTTGAGTATCTCTATAAGAAAGAAAGGCACTATATAAGTACAGTCCATTTACCATTTACATGTGTTAGCATGTGTGTACCAATTGTCAAGTGGTTTGCTACCAGCATCAACTAAATTATTATTTGTTGTGCTTGTTTCATCCAATGTTTACTTTTGAGCTTGCCGTTTTCTGGCAACTCCAGAACTGGATTTCACTTGTGGAATGGGAGTAACGCACTAAGAGAAGAAAAGTATTGATCCCTTCAGGCTAGAATCGATACGATATTATCATACGTTGATGTAGCTTCTCATCCAGGACATAGCAATTTTTAAAAACGAAAATGAAAAATAGGAGACAAAGCAAGTGAACTTCTGTCCTACAGCTGAAGATGTGTGGCGTTCCAAGCTTTAAACTGGATGATGTTGGTACTATGAGTATTTGGATCAGTCCTCACCCTCTACTTCAACAATGTCACAGTCACATGAACTGTGAAAGGACCGCTCAGACTGAGGCCACTGACTGACTTACGTGTATCCCATTTAGTACCACGTAGGTGGTAGTGACCACGAGGGGAGTGGTGACGCAGAGGTTAGAGAAGGTGGGGTTGTGATCAGAAGATCGCCGGCCCAACTCCCTGTACCGACAACATAAAAATGTAGGTGGGAAAAGTGAAACACCCACACTTGCCTCCACCCACATTTGCCTCACTCTGGGCCCTTGAGCAAGGAACTTAACCAGGGCTTAATTTGGGGACCTCTCTTATTTTGACAGGGTGCTTCCAACAACTGTTTGTTTGGATCCAGTAACTCTCAGGCTTACTAATAATAAAGTTATGAACAAATATGACTGTCTTGAATGAATAAAACTTATACTGGATATGCAAACTGAAAATAATTACATAAACACTCATTTTAAACACAAAAGCCACGATCTGCCTCTTCGAGTGAAGCATTTCTGCGTATACCCTTAAAGAATCTCCAACCCTACAGAGTGAAGTGGTGAGCAGGCAGTCGTATATGAGCAGGAGCCCTGAGGTTTTACATGTGGAGTCAGACAATAACGAGCAGGGACAGAGTCGGGCTAGATTCTGAGCCAAACTTACTTGACAGTTGGGTCAAGTAAATGCGTGTGTTGACAGAAGTGAAGTGTTTACAATTTTAGATAAACGTAGATGTTTAACATTCTGTTAAAATACACCAAAATGCAGGAAATCACATTTACTTTATTCAAAAATTTCAGGGGGAGGATCCCCAGACCCAGCCCGCCTGCTATTTGTGTTCCAGCATCAGTCGGTTTACAAATTAAGCCCTGCCCTTAACCCCCACCATCTGCTCCCCTGGGTGCCCTAGATAGCAGCTCACTGCTCCACACAGAGTGCTGTGGTAGCTCGGTGGTCTGTGGTTGCATCAGGAAGGACATCTGGCATAAAAGAAATTGCCAAGTCTTCGTGTGAGTTAGTTCACTGTGGCGACCCCTGAAGAAGGGAGCAGCCAAAAGAAGAAAAAAAAATGGTAGTAACCACACATGTGGCCTGAGTCAGATTAGAAAAATGTCTGACATTTAAACTGTCATGTTAATAAATAAATCAGATACAATTCAAAAATCTTAAGGAAAAAATGGGACTGGGGATATTTTCACCTGCAGTATGAACAGAGTCTTAGTCCACACCACCCACTGAAGATAAATGTTTTGACTGATCATAACTAAAACTTATAGTTTCATAATATTAGCTGTCCATCATCTGGTCATAAACATGACTGATAGTGTGCACTAAGTTCTGCCTAATCTTGCCTGGATTGTTTGAGATGTGGATGATGACACCGTGACGTGTTTACAGTTAGGTCTGAGTTCATCAGCGTGGTTGAAAAATGATAATACATCATGTTTAATAAACAAGCTATGATGCTGATACTGAAATATCACATTTACACTGTATTAACTAAATGCAACTTTACAATTTAACATCATATCTCCTTTTGACGTCTCTGTTCAATAAATCGTCTCCAGTGTTACACAGTATCAAGTCAAGTAAAAAAAGAGGGAGGAAATATTTTCAAATCAAGACTGAAATGTCAGAAAATACAACAATAAAAAGTATTTTTTGTTTTTGATTAAATCAAATGAATAAAAAAGTAAACAAATTCCATCAAATCTGGTTGACAGAAGATAATTTATGGCAAAAATTCCTGAAGTATTTCTGTTAATGTGCCCGAATTGTGTAACCAGTAAATGTGACTCTGTCTGCAGTCTCAGTGACACAGGATAAGAAAAATAATATTTGTTTACTGGTACCAGTTCATCAGTACTGGCCCAGTATTTAAATTTATTTTATTTTTCCCCCTCTCATTTGCATTTTCTCACATTGTATCTAATGGAACGTGTGTTTCTTTTCTTTCCCTCTGTTCTTATGACTGAATCATGCAGATTATATTCTAATATTACTGATAAACAGGCAAACACTGAACATAAATTACATCCTCTATAGATAAAAATGAATAAAGAAAAAAAAAGCTAATAAAACAGCAGTTGATTAAAGTGGATTTGTCCCAGCTGAGAGGTGACAATGAGCAAACACATTTCAGGTGTTTGGGAACAGGAAGAAATCATGTCTGACAAGTCGAGCTTGTTAGTTCTAATGAACTAAAACGTGTTTGATTCAAGGTTGAATCAACATTTCCTGTTTCCAAACCTATGGGAGAGCAGGACTGGTCCGGGACAGGACTGGGTCACAGTTGTTTGTCTAAAGGTACAGGGCTGAAGGTCTACAGCTTCATGGGTTGCAGTCTGCTCTGATGTCTACATGTACACAGTTTGGGGAGACGTTCTCTCATCGGGGTTGATGGCGTGCTGCTTGGTGGGGCATGAAACACTTGGCTGGAGGATCCTTCTCCTGAGCCCCACCCCCTTCCATCTGAGAAGCCACCATGTTCCATCAGGACTGCAAAAAGACCACAGCAGACAGTTCTGATATGAGCATGCAGTATATTAAATATTTTATTTATGCTGCATTTTTAAATTCACATTTATGTTTTTATAACATATAATATATAATGCATTTCTGTCTTGTGTTTGCATCATTGTTCATTCACTTCATTCAGTTTGCATTTTGTCAAACATCAGCTGCTCTACTGCCTCATTTCCATAGGCCCTGCTCGTGTCTGCCCCCATTGGGCCTTGTTGGGCCGGTACAGGTAGGACCGCTTCATTTTCCATTTCCACAGTGCCCCTTTATGCTTTCAGTACTGGTTCCAGTGGGTGGGCTTCAAATTGAGGTCACGTGCCTCTCACCAGCTGGTGGCAGTGAGACGCTGAAACAGGTATATATATATATATATATATATATATATATATATATATATATATATTATACCTGCCTCCACCCTCATTCGTCCCACTCTGGGCCCTTGAGCAAGGCCCTTAACCCCCACCATCTGCTCCTCTGGGTGTCCTAGATAGCAGCTCTCTGCTCCACACAGAGGGCTGTGGTTTTGTCAGGAAGGGCATCCAGCGTAAAAATAACTGCCAAGTCTTCATGCGACTTAGTTCGCTGTGGCGACCCCTAACACAGGGAGCAGCTGAAAGAAGAAGAAGAAAAAAAAATTCTACTAAAGATTCTACTAAAAAAATCTATATTGAAAATTTTATATTTTTCTTCATGATTTGATGTATTTGCACTCATTATGTCTACTTTTATTGTTCAGTTTAGATATGTGGTTTTGTTTCTTGTTTGCAGATTATCTTATTGTAGCTTTGCTTTAAAGATTAACTTCTGTTTTGTGATTTGTATATCTGTGGGTAAGAACAAAGTTGAAATAAAGGCTGTATCTCTTCTTTAAACATATTTTAGGGAAATATTCCTGAGAGATCCAATAATTTTGTGTCTTTATGATTTTTCAGCTGAGCTAACTTTAACAGATTATTTAATAGCCATTAAAGTGAAAACAGGATGTCATGATAAAGCTGGCACCATTTATTTTTATTGTTTTTAATCTTCACTGATTAAAAAAAAATATATATTTTTTATACATAAATTGTTTTTTAAAATAGTTTCCACCATCCGTCCAAACACGTCCTGGTCCGCCTGTCTGCTAGGATCAAGGTTCTGCCTTCATGATTACACGAGGCCAGGGTCCGGGCAACAGCCTTCTGCGAGTCAGCAGCTCGTATGATTCTCTGTGGTGACCAGTGGAGCTCAGAGCCCACAGCGCACACAAGGTGGGGTTCTGTAGCCTGAGCTCCGATTCCGCAGCACGGAGATTCTCCCATAGTGACCCGTGGAGCTCGGAGCCGGGGTCAGGACGCCCTGACCGGCCTGGCTCTGAGGCTCTGGTGGAGAGGACCGGAGAGACCGGTGGAGCTCCATTTTGCTCGCTCTGAATTTTGTTGTCGGCCAGCAAGCACAAAAAACACTTGCACTTTAGCATTAGATCACGGTGTTATTATTGTTTTTAAAATCTTTAAAATAGGTCCAGCCACTGCTCTGGGTTCTGAGAAATTGCAAATGGCAGATCGGTGTGAAAAGTTTCTAAAAGACCCAGTGACTCCTCTCCCTGACCAATCAGTGACTGACAGTGTGCTGACGTCATGTTTTCGGGTCCTGCTTGGACTCAATGGAACCACAGAGAAGTAGGTACTGAAAAAACTGGCCGGTTCCTAAATGAAGGCCCCGTGGAAAAGAATACAGAACCAGCCTGAGCAGGTCAAAGCGAGCCCAAGCAGGACCTGTGGAAAAGGGGCTAAAGTTTATCTTTAGGGGTGGCCAATGTATTTGTTTACTTTTTATTATTATTAAACCTTAAATTAACCAGGTAGAGCTCACTGAGATTAAAAATCTTTTTTCAAGAGAAACCTGGCCTGACATTGATGGATAAAAAGTACCATTGTACTGATACATTTCTATTTAAAAAACAAAACAAAACAATAAAACAGACATAAAAAAGGCATGTTTAATGACATTTGTAATGTTTGAATTTATATGTTTACCTCACTTGTGCTAAAAGTTAAAATACAGTATGTTTGATTATTTGGAGATGGAGTATTTTCATCTGGACAACATCTGGCTTTATAGAACTAAGGTTAATTCACCACCACTAAATTATTATTATCATCATTATTATTTATTTTAATTGTTATTTTTTGTTATTTTTATTATGGTATTTTTATTATTGTTGTTGGTGGTGGTAGTAGTAGTAGTAGTAGTCACATTAACAAAGCATCGATCTGTCTGTTTTGCCTGATGTGTACTTTTTAAAAACAGCAAATATCCAACTTTGACAGTTAGAATGTTGCAAAACTTAAAAATATCATACATTTTGATGCTACTTTGTAATTTTTGGATTACTGTTATTTTCTGACTATACGTAGCTGTTTTTTCACAATCTGGCCAGTCCTGCGACGTATACTCCCAAGCAACTTCTATACTTTTTTTTCCCTATTCATGACTCAATTTTTGACTGACGTGTTAAATGTTCATGAACCAAAGAGTAAACAGTACCATCTGCAGCCACGAGAGGGCCCTCTAGGCTTTTGACAACTATATTTGACTGACTTGTTGTTACGATTACGCGGGGAACCCAGATGGTATGAGACCCAGAACGAGGCAGACACAGGGGAAGTACAAAAAGAACAGTGTTTATTATTTACAGTGAATATCCACACGCTGCTTCTCAGCAACTCCTGGAAAGAGGGACGACAGGTTAATGTTGGTCCAGAGGGGAAGACCTGAGTGGTTTGTTTGAAGGAGGTTTTTGTCCTTACAGTCCAAACCCGAAGGAGGGGAGCTGGTCCTTCAGTCCAAGGAGTGAGCAACAGAGGGGAATCCAACGAGGGTCCAAGGGAACGAGGAAGGCTGGCAACTGGAGGCAAAAATGGCACGAGGAATACCTGACAGGCCGAGGGATCCAGATCAGGTCACGAGGAGATCCAAAAACACGAGGAACCAGGAAACTGGAAAAGAGAACACAGGTGAACAAATTCTTTTCACCTAGACATATCTAGCTCAACAGTACTATACCATGAGAGGTGATATGCTCCAGCGATGAGTCACACTGGGCTGCAGCCTTTTGTAGATGGAGAGGCTCATCAGGCTGATGACCGCCAGGTGTTGTTAATCAGCGGCCATCAGCAAGGCAGGCTTAAGGCAGTGGGACCCTTACACGTGTTAAATGTTCATGAACCAAAGAGGAAACATTACCATCCGCAGCCGTGAGAGGGCCCTCTAGGCTTTTGACAACTATATAGCATTTTTTTGTGTGGAGACTTTAATATTGACCTGGGAAATAAAACCGATTCAAATAACATTGGTACATTTACAAATTCATTGTATAGTTTAAATCTTTATCCGTTAATATCAAAACCAACAAGAATTACAACTCATAGTGCTACAATAATCGATAATATTTTCACAAATGTAACAAATGGGGATGTGATGGGAGGTATTTTAACGAATGATTCAAGTGATAACTTAACAGTTTTCAGTATTTATAAAAAAGATCAAAGCATTACAAAAGAAATTACAATTAAGAAAAAAACAATAAACACATGAAAAAAAGCACTGGACAAATTAAAAGATGATTTAGATAAACAAAACTGGAAAGACGTGTATTTTGATGATGTGAACAGATCATATGATGAGTTTATGAATATTTTAAGAGCTCTGTATGAAAAGAATTGTGTGCAAAATAATTATACAAAGAGAAATGTTGTTGATCAACCATGGATGACAAAAGGGTTGAGAAATGCTTGTAAAAAAAAAAAAAGAATTATTTGTATACATGTTTCTTGAAATTGAGAACACAAGAGGCCAAAGAAAAATATAAGAAGTATAAAAATAAATTTGTAGGGATTATAAGGAAACACAAGAAGAAATATCCTGATGGATGCTCAATAATCCAGGTAGAAAAATCTAAAAAAGTTAAATCTGGTCCTCTGGACATTCAAAAAAACAAAACAAAGCAAAACAACAAAAAAATGTAGAAACGTTTCGTCTCTCATCCGAGAGACTTCCTCAGTCTGAGGTGCTGTATTCAGCTCAGTCTCTTAAATAGCACCTTCTCAGAGTGGATCAACCAGTTTTGCTGCTGACAACATATCACATATCACTCAGCCCTCTGTGAGTAGTAAACAGCCATCAGTGTGCTAATGATCCATTGTTAGGCTGATGGTCCTTCTTGAGCATGTGATCAGCTGGTTTTGGTTGTCAGCAGCAAA